TCGTGTTTAGGGTCCACTGTTTTATCTGTTCCCTCTCCTCTAGCCACTGCCGTTCCTAATCATTCTACCCAACTCATTTTTTTTATGTGTCTCTCCCCCTTTGCACATTTTAATGCCAATATGAATTCTTTATGTAACTTTGTTATTGGCTGTTGAAATGGTGAGTCTTAAATAATATATATATATATATATGGTGATGTCATTCTTCCTTTTCAAATTCATGTATAGTCTATAGACTATAGGGTTATTATTTACCTACAACTATATGTTAAATATATAGAATTCAGTTATAACAGGGACATGATTAGACCAAGTAAAAAATGATCTAGATTGATCAAACCTAAAATAGGACTTCCTTTTCGTGTGCTGAAATTGTGTCAAAATTATTTCACTGTAACAAGAACTCTAATTTAACCTTAAGGATGTGTTTGATTCAGAGAATATTAGATTACTGAAATCTTATATTAGGTTGAAGATTATTGAGAATATTTAAGAAAATATGTTTGATTAGTTGGTAGGTATGTTATATAGTAAAACCTCTCTATAATCATAATGATGGGACTACTTGATTTTATTATTATAAGGAGGTTATAATTTAATAGAGGTGTAATTACAAAAATTTCTTATTTTATAATTCATGTTTTAATAGTACACCATTAAAATTTCAATTCATGTTTTACTAATATAGGATTTCAATTTAGCGCTTCAATTGCCTACTTTTTAAACGAATAGAAAATCGTGTCTTAGAACCAGTAAAGATAAATGTCCTTGATGAAATTATAAATATAGTTGTTGCATGGTTAAATTGATGTGAAGCTACAGATAATTGTCATTTGTTTTAAGTATTACAAAATTAGGATCCCTAATGTCGATGAATTGCAAGTTATAAATAAAGTGGATAAGAAGAATCAAAGAATCATTGTAGAATTGAGTGATCAGATTTGACAACTTCGATATACTAATCGAATGGATATTAATGTCCTCCTCCATCATTCAAATGAGCAACAAGTCATATATGCTTTAACTGAAGAAGAAATCATTGTTACAATTACACAAGAAAAGAAAGGAAATAATCATGAGGATGATAGTACGGAAATACAAAAAGTTTTGTGGCAATAAGCTCCAAACATGCTTGAGAAGCAATAAATATTTTGGCTTCAATAAGAAATTGTCGATGTTAGTGAGTAATGTACCCGCAAGTTAAAAGATGTGATAATAACTTAAAAGCATAAATCATTCTTCCAAACAATTTTAGAGAAATATTTTATGTCATCTTAAACTATTAATGTAACAAATAATATATTTGTTTATAATATACACATAATTATTACTATGTGGAGGCAATTTTCCTTAAGACGGGATTAGAAAAATTATAACTTATAATAATGTAGAGTTTATTCTTATTTATAACTATCCCAAGTTGGGAATAAAATTTTTTATGGCTATGTAGAGTTTATTTTTATATAGAGTATTACTATAAAGAGGTTTTACTGTATTAATATATAGGGAGATAAATTGGTAGATATGTTATTTAAATTACTAAATTGCCATTTTTTTAAATATTAATATAATATTATTTTTATTATTAATTTTTGAATAGTTTCTGAAACCCCCAATTCAGATTTAGCTAAAACACCCCCACTTATATAAAACTTTAATTTATGACAAAATCACCCCTATCCCCACCCCCTGCCATAAGTCACCGTGAGTAGCTTACTGTGACTGCAAGGCTCTAATATGGTCGTTTCTAGCCATATTAATGGCCGAAAACAACCACATCAGGCCAGAATATATCTGGCCATTTTTGACCATAAATATGGCCATAAATAGCCATATCAAAGCCTCCCGGAGCCTCCCAATGACTCTCGGTCATTTTTAGGGACTCCAATGGCGGTCTAATATGGTTGGCCCACTGTTGGCGGTGGTGGCTGGATGGCGGTGGTGGTCTGTAATTTGTTTTAAATATAAAAGCATTATTATCTAAAAACTTAATTAAACAAGGGTAAAATTGAAATGGTATATTAATGTAAATTGATTTTAAAACAGGGGTATTATTGTCTAAAATGTTTATTAATAAAGGATAAAATTGTAACAAAAATAAGGTTACCGGAATCTTATATTACTTGACAACTAAACATAGTAATCAAGTAATATAAGATGACATAATCCAAGTTATCTTAGATTACCTCCAACCAAACGCCCCCTAAAGGTAGTCTGGTGGTAAAAAATGTTTGCTCTCTTAATTGATTCTCTGAGTTCAAATTATTTTAGGGTCACCTACCATATTTGTAGCTTACCCAAAATATTGAGTTTATAAAGTGTTCAATTGGCCTAGAAGATTAATTGAGGTGTGCACAAACTGACCCTGACACACTGATTATTAAAAAAAAAAAAAAACAAGTATTCTAATTTGGTACAACTAAGCACATAAAATCATATTTCACTTTAGATTCTTTAGTCTTTACTACCATAAACTCAAACTAATGACTAATTTAATATTGGGAATATATGTTGTGAGGGCCACAGGGATTGAGATTGCCTCTCTAACTTACTCACTTTCCATTTTGGGTAAGAAATTGGATTATAAAAGGTGATTAGCAGTAATTGGGTGTTTAACTTGGAGAGCATGTTAGTAATTTAGGAATGACGAGAATTTAAAATGTGGAAATCCCCGTAATGTTAGCCTAACTGCAACTTGGGAGATTATCTTCTCCAACGGATCACTTTATTGTCACGCCAAATACCCCCACATTTTATACTCTGACGTAAATGCCCCTCACAATGACTACCCCATACTCTCATGTACATTAAAGTAACAACTCAGAGAATACGCTTTCTACTGGTATTTTAAGAGACTGAAGTTCTAATTTTCTTTCAATTATTGAATATATATATATATGAAATATGATTAACCACAAATCACACGAATAACCAATGAGTTAGGGAAATAGTAGTAGTAATATTGAGCACACGTGACATATGCCCCACAAAATGATGTTGTTTCTAGAGAAAAATGGCATCAAAGTCCACCATCTGGGTTGCTTTGATATGATCACATGGGTGGATGAAATAGATGAGCATCTCTTTCAAAATATCAGTTATTATTTTTGTTATAAACAATAATTCAAAGCCTAAAAAAGAGGCAATTTTGACGCCCGTTTCCTCAAATCACGAGAGATTTCTCTTATGAAGATTGAGTTTCACTTAAGTTCACAAGCAACCATAGCTTCAAAAACCTTTTTTATTTATCATCTTAGATTCTCCTTTATTCTCGTTATAATACATAATCAGCTTAAGTTAAAATTACCAATCTTATATTGATCCTTTTTGTGCGAATAATTACAAGATCAAAGTAATCCACGTGGCAAATGATTAAAAGCGCAGTGGCGTTAATGGAAAATTAAAACATTAAAACCCGGTTAATTGTTTTAAGCTGACCGGCATGTGGCAGTTGAATGAGTGCACATGCGTAGCATAAAAACAAAGGGAGAGGGCGGTACAAGATTCAAATTGAGTGAGTGGGAGTGGGACGTCGACGGTTATATATCCACATTTCAAATTTCCTTTTTCTTTGCTTTAAAAACAGAACAAGAGTAGTAACTTAGCTCCCTTCTCACTCATCATCACTCCCAAAAGCAAACTTTAAAGAAAGAAAGTTCCAGATCAGAAGAAGAGGACATCTTCGTCATTTCATTTAAATCCATCCATCTTATTTCCTTTCTTTCTCAGCTCATTTTAACCAAAACCACAACACTCTGCTTTACACAAATCTTGCCGGAGAAGAACACCTGCTTTCTCACCACTATTTATATTTTGCTACTAACTCTCACTTCCTAATTTGGATAGGTATTTTTTTTTTTTTTTTTTTGGTTCTTGGTAAAAATGGAGAGAACCACTCCAGTAAGGAAGCCACACACATCCACTGCAGATCTGCTCGTTTGGTCCGAAACTCCTCCTGCTGATTCACCTGCTAACGCCACCGCCACGCGCCTAACCACTCGCGCCCAGGTGCGTGCAATTCTGTTTGTTTTGTCGTGATTTAGGCGTTTGTATGATTACTTGTTTGTTCTGATTGGTTCACGTGCAATGCTAGCCATCGGATGGGATTAGCAAGGTGGTTTTTGGGGGTCAAGTGACGGACGAGGAATCTGAGAGCTTAAACAAAAGGTGAGATCTGCTTCTCCTTAAAATACAAGGTTCTATTTTTTTAAGATAAAATAATTTTATTTGGTGGCATTAAATGTGTTTAGATAGTCCTGAAATTTGTTGGTTTCGGTTTGGTTTATACAATAATAACTTCTTCTTTTTTTTTTTTTTGGTCTGTCTTTTTGTCTTTACTCTTCACGGATTTCATTAATGTTTCGTGTGTTGTGTCTGCAATGGTCAAGATATTTTTACTTCGATTTGACTTATTAATGTTTTCTGTGAAATACTTTGTATGTACAATTCTGTTAATCTATGTTTCATCCTCTCTTCAGGTTGATCTGTCCTGATATATTCGATTACTCTCCTTATTTTGGCTATCAATAGTAATTGAAAAGCCTTACTAAATTTATTTAGCTGTCTTACCTGCTAGTAGAAAATTAAATTGGTTGTTTTGGATCTTTTATAGCCGAGTAAACCCCGTTGGTTTAATCCATTGTATTTAGATCTACCATAGGCGATCCTGTGTTTAGCTTCCACGGCTATATCTATAGAGCCTATATAAATTTTAGAAATTATGTCAATTAATATGTGTGTTTTAGAAACTGAGTAAATGAATGCAAGGAATTTGGATAGCTGTTTTCAAATTCCAAATGATGTTGCTTGGCCTCCCACCGGACCAAGTTCAATGCTGGCTACCATTTTACAATCGTTCCACATGATCTTTTATGTGGCCATGACCTACATGGCATAGTAAAACATCAAATAAATATCTGATAAATCTATCGTGTTTAGTTCTAAAATAAGACAACTCAAATTTTCAGCATCTACCCTTATTATTTAAAAACACTGTTAGTTGTTTTCCAAGCAATTATGCTTGTTATCGTGTGTGGGTCTGCTAATGTGTGGCTATTTAATAGCAGAAAACATATAAAACAGGGGAGATGCAGTAATCTATTTTGCCAATGGAATAGAATGTTCAAAAACTGATGTAATTGTGCTCTTTTTATGTTAGACTTCTAAAACCATTGACTTTGTACTACTTTGCAGGAAACCTTGTTCAGGGTACAAAATGAAGGAGATGACTGGCAGTGGCATTTTCGCGGCCGGTGGAGAAAATGATACATTAGAATCTGATAGTGCCAATCCAACTCCAAATAACAGAACAGGAATACGCATGTATCAGGTATCTAGGGTTTCTTGCAGATTTGAAAGTCACATGCCTCTGTTGTCCAAATAAATGGAAATTTGGAACAACATGATACACTATCTAGTAACTGACAATTTTGATATACTGATGTTTGGAATTGCCAGCAAGCGATTGCTGGAATCAGTCATATCTCATTTGGTGAGGAAGATAATGTTTCTCCCAAGAAGCCTACTACTATACCTGAGGTGGCTAAGCAGCGTGAGCTAAGTGGGACACTGGAAAGCGAGGCAGAGGCAAAGTTGCAAAAGCAGATTTCTGAATATAAGAGCAAGGAGCTTAGTGGACATGATATCTTTGCACCCCCTCCAGAAATTTTACCACGGCCAGCTGTGCGCTCCTTGGCGTTGAAGGAAAATTTTAACTTGGGAGAAACTGCTGCACAAAATGTACCGTCATCTGTCAATACCTCTGACGTGAGTGAGTTGTTTTTAATTTGTATGCATGAAAAAAATTGCTTTATTCCTTCCCTCCTCCCTCTTTTCTCTCTCTCAATGGATTTTTAAGCTTTAATTGGGAGATAGGTTGAATATGCAATCATGCCCGCTACAAGATTATAATTAATCGAACGAATGCTTTACTTTTTTATATTTAATATAAAAAAGGTTTCATAAAGTTATGCCTTATGTTAGATTCCAACAACGTTTCTATATATTGGTGTTCTTTTAAGATGGTTAGGATGCATGTATTGAGTGCCTAAGAACTAGTGTATGAGCATAGTTATCATACTAATTGCACAATGCTGGGACCAGGAAGTACAGTTTTGTTGATTTTGGATTCAATATTACGTGTCTGCACATGGCTTTTTCTAGTTCCTTGATTCTCATCTTAGTTTATAAATATGTACTTATATTGTGCAATTCTCATCTTTCTCTTCAGCATGTGTCTGCTACTTGTTTTGTGCTTCATGTTTACTGAATTTAAATATCTGACTTTGTCTGAATCTGGATTTAATTTTGTGTCGGATGTCAGAGCAATATAATGTCTAGTGAGGAATCTGGGATGAAGACAGCAAAGAAGATATATGACAAGAAATTTGCTGAGCTTTCTGGAAACAACATATTCAAGGGTGATGTTCCTCCAACATCTGCTGAGAAGTCACTGAGTGTGGCAAAACTGCGGGAGATGAGTGGCAGTGACATCTTTGCCGATGGGAAGGCGGAGTCGCGAGACTATCTGGGTGGAGTACGCAAGCCTCCAGGCGGCGAGAGCAGCATTGCCTTGGTTTAACTTGTTAGGTCTAACTTGGTTATTTTTTATACTTTGTGCCTGGTTTTGTGTTATTCCCAGTGGTGGTGGTGTGATTATATTATTCGACCTTGCATTGCGGGTTTTGGGAATCTTGTTCTAGGTTTTAACATGTTGCCAGAGCTATGGACTGTCTGCTAATTGGGTTTGTATGTCCATAATCTTGTGCTTTTCAGTGCTTGTTTTAGTGAAATTTATGGTCGTTTCTCCAGGTTTAATTTTATTTCTTAGTACTACATTGATTATCATTAAACTGTTTTAATTTATTGAGTAATTGTTTTTGTGCCCATCTTTATCCAACACCCATTCCCATTCAAATCAAGGACTGGCTCTTGATATTCAAACGGTGTTCATATTAAAGTTTCTGAAACGGTTTTCATTATATTGAAACGTTACTTCCAGCTTAAGCATACCATAATTACGCCAAACTTGCATAGCCTTAAAGAATGATGTAAATGTCTTACTCTGAATCATAGTGGATCAGTTGTTGGTTCGTGATTTGGGTAGGCAACGAGGAGTGCAGTGCATCAGTTATCTTTTTCAAAGTGTTATAAGTGGAAGACTATAGTGTCAAGGAAAATTAATTAAAACATTATTTCAAGTTTGTAATTAATTAAATAACTATAAAGTTTGAAACCCTTTATTAAATAATTATTCACTTAAGAGATATAAGTTTATCTATTAAATGATATATTTTAAATCGCTTAAATGACGAAGTTTATGACTATTTAATTTATTTGATATTTTAATAATCAACCATATATATTTATTTTTAAAACCTAAAATTTTTATATTACTGCAATAACAGTAAGTTAAGATTACTAAAACGTATGCTATACCATTTTATTTTCACTTTAAGATTCATGTTATTTCATTTGATTTTCACTTTAAGATTTTTCCACCAAGAAGGGATATCATCTCGAAAGTCGAAACAATTGAAATTACTTGGTTGCTTCAAATCAGTTGCCGTGAAGAACTGGTGAAATTCAGGCGGTTGAGTGGGAATTGTGCGGAAGTTTCATATAACGTTCTTGTGTTCTTAAGTTTGTTGTAGTAGTTGAATATTAAGTCTCAATCGTATAAAAGGATTATGGTCTCATGAAATCCTAGTTGTAAAGAAGGGGAATCGTCTCAACTTTTTGACCATGGAATTCCAACACTTAAATCAGAAATTCGTAAGGCTAATGCACTAAATGTCGACAACTTCAATCAATGGGTCGCTTGTGGACAAAAATAAACCATTTTTTTATGTGTTAAGAATGATAAATCATATAAAGTTGAACTTTATAACTTAAGATAATGCAGGCAAAAGTGACGATTTTGGGTTGACGACGAAGTCTTCATGGTTTACTTGAGTGACAAGAAACCATTTTTGCCCTTTCATATTCATAGATGTATACATAAACGCGTAAGTGAGGAAACAAAAAGGGAAAGAAAATAGTTTTAAGATTTATCAATAATTAACAATACATGTTTAGATGATTTCATCTCTACCGTTGATTCATGATCTTGATTGGCCAAGAATATAACAGAATCCCAATCGAAGGTCAAAAGAGATCAACGTCAAGTTGAGAAAATCAAGCAGTATTTTGCGTGGAAGAGGTTAGTAATTAGAATTCTGTTTTAGCATTAGAGATTTTGATAACTAACAAATCAAAAATAAATATATATATATATATAAACAAATTTCTCCTACTCAGATTCTCTGTCTTGCTCACTCTCTCTCTTCCATTCTGTGCTTTTTCTCTGCGTAAAGTAGCGCGGGCACCTCGACTTCATTTTCATGGTGCAACTGTGAGCAGTGACAGACCGTACACACTCACTTTTATATAACCGTCAATATCGAATTTCAAACAAAATCCCAATCTCTCTCTTCCTTCTTTCGTTCACGCTCTTCGACTCTTCTTTAAAGTTTAAACCAAAAAAAGAAAAAAAAACCCACAAACCAAATCAAATGACACTCAAATACATAGCATAAGAGTCTCTTCATTTCTCTGCAACAAATGTCTTTCACTTTTTAGACCCTTTAAATCGATAATATTTGATGTGGGTTTTGGGTTTTTGATACTGGTTTGGGTTTGTTTTTCTTCAATATTAAGTCTTTTCAATCTTTATATTTTATGTATTTGTTAAAAAAGTAATTTCATTTTTTTAGGATGTATAAAGTAGGTGATCAGATAGAGAAAAAGAGAGTTTTAGAGAAAATGAAGAGAGATGAAGAGCTTGAAAAGATGTTGAATGAGATTCATCACCATCAAGTTCCATATGTCAATATTGGCCACCAACACACGCCTCTTGTGAGTGGTTCTGGTTCACCTTTTAGTAGAGTGACTCAGCTATCAACAGAACACTCTTCTGCTCTTTCAAATTCTTGTTTTTCTTCCAATGGGTTTTGTTTAGCTCAGGATAATTCTTCGCCATTTTCAACAATGAGTTTTCCCTTTGATATTGAGGATGTTAACAAGTTTAAAGCACCAAGTGTCACAGATAATCATGTTAGTGGACTGTGGTTGGATTCTCAATCAAACGATCTTTCGTTATAGGAAGATTTTGTACGTGACAGGTTGGATTTTGATGAACTGGGTTTGTGTGAAAGTTACTATAGAATGAGCGTTGGAAAGGAACAAAACGATCATAGTATTATAATGAACAGATATGGATGAACCCAGAGGAGGTTAGCTTTGGTTTTGGTCATGGTTATTTGGGTGGTACTGTACCTTATAATGTTGAAAAATATGGCATATCTGATGGTCTCAACATGGTGATTATCAAGGGTTCGGTACCTGTCCTGGTGTAGTATCTAGGAGTTTGATGATGAAATGAAGTCTGTGTCGATTGGTTTGGGTGGTAGATATGGTGAGTGTGAGTTAAGGATGGTAATTTTTTTCACAGTCAAGCTACTGATATGCGTTCGGATCCATGTTATGGTAGATAGCATAAGATTGGTATTTGAGCAGAGAAAGGAACAGGGAAGGAGCTGGACTAATGGGGGTTTACAATCACGGGTATTATCGGGACTAGGCCTTACCTTAATGATGCATTGGTTGGTTCGCAACGACTTCGATTGGATACCATTGGAGAGATGTTGCCATGAATCAATTGATTTCCACTCCCTTGATGTATCACGAGTGGGTTTAGATTTGGAAACTCGTTGTATAATCGTTCATGTTGAAAGAAGGACTAGTGTGATGCCAAACGACAGGGTTTCTGTCTCTCACGTGCCTTGAATGAAGCAGGGGTGGTGGATGTTTTGGTGTCGAAGATAGTTTCATCATACAAGGAAAAAGTCTTAATCATGTTGTCAACGGACGTGTTTCTTTGAGTGGTCACAAGAAGAACAACCTCAATGAGGTTGCAACCAGAAACCCTCCAGAGAAAATCTCTAAACTTGAAAGGTGTGCTCATAATGGAGGACTTTCAGAAAATGATCAGAATATAAGTTATTTCCCATTGCATTTGTTACCAAGTTCTAGTTCCTTGGCTGAGTTTCGCGGTTATATTACTTAAGGCGAAGGATCAAATGGTTGTCGGTTCTTACAAAGGTGTTCGATGAGGGAACTTACAAAGATTGCAAAATATATTAATGAGATTATGATCATGTTGTTGAACTTAGATGGAGCAGTTGGCAATTACCTTGTGCAGAAGTTGTTAAATGTGTGTAGTGAAGAACAAAGGACACAGATTGTGCTCATGGTCACCAACGAACCGGACAGCTTGTCAGAATTTGCTTAAACACATATGGGTAACTCCTCTATAAAGGACTTAGTAACTGTCTTGTTCATTTAGTCGTTTATTGTTTGAGTTATTTGTTCTTGAAAATTTTTCTTGTCAATGAATGACATTTTTGTTATTATTCCAGCACACGAGTGGTACAGAAGTTGATAGAAACGCAAAACAGGAAGCAGATTTCAGTAGTCAAAGCAGCACTGAGACCTGGTTTCTTGATCTCATAAGGATCTGAATGGAATCATGTGTTACAACGCTGGTTGCATTGTCTTAGAAATGAAGATAATGAGGTATGTTTTTTTTCCTTCCATATCTTTCCATTGTGAAATTTCAGTTTGGTTCTAAGGATCTAATGTACTCATGCTTTATTTTCTCATTCTTGAATACCAATATGATCTTATTATTATTTTTTGTTTTTGAAATGAAGCTTTTCTCATCCAGTAGTTTTTCATTCTTGTTAACAAATGAGTTGCAAATGTAAAATTAGCTAATTTATAGTGTTTCATGGCTTGGTAAGTCATATCTTCACAGTACATTAAGCTTTTGATGTCATATTTTCATGGAAGGTGGACATGTTCCTAAATCAATTTGTGGTGGTATGAATCTTATGCATTGCCTTGGTTCATGCATGCATAACAGTGTTAGACAGGAAACAGAGCATTAGTTGGGTAAACTTCTTTTTCCTTGTTACACTATCTAGATAGTTTAACTAACAGGCAAACTGGTTAGCAGTGATTAGTCCCAGGTATGTAAGGGGCCAGCAAAAAATCTGGCTTCATGTTTGACCAGGAACAAGCAACTTCTTTACCTAGAAATTAACAATTCTCCTAGTTTGGTAGATTTATCCTGCCAATTCATAATCCTCTTCAGTGTGCACGTTGGTGCTTTTATGGAGAATTGTATCAATTCTAATCATTGATTTGGCTCATGTACCTGCATGCATATTTTATAATTTGTTTTGCTTGGTACATACATACACGTGGATTCAGGGCCAACATGCCTTCACAGCCTCTACTGTTCTTGGAGCTAGCATGTTGGGTGTTATGTAGCCAGTGGGGATGCAGGGAGATATAGAATGAAAGTCCATACAACTGTTAACAATAGAAGCACCAAGAGGATTGATATAGATCTAATTCCTATTGCTGGATTAGCTCATCTGTACAAATACAATCTGAACCTTGTCATATTTGTCACAACTCCGACTCAGTGATGGCAAGATGAACTTAAAATCAATTTAAGAGTTATATTTATCTGTTTATGTATTTTGACTTAAGTATTGATTACTAGAATGTTCTCTTTTCAAATGTCTGATGTTTTTTTATTATGGCTTCTAAGCTTCTCATTGAATCAGTGAAGATTTTAACTAGATGTATGTTTTTCATTGAGAATAGTTAGTTTGCTGGACCTGCTATACTACTGTCAACAGGTATTCTAAATTTTTATCTTATTGTTTTTCCTGCGTTTATTTTTGATTCGCTGCAAAGTTTTGTGTTGAAATTGCTACTCATCAGCGGTTGCTGTGTGTTGCAACGATGTATGTGCTCATTCAATCGGTGAACTTCGTGAAAGTTAATCACTGAAATTTCCATCACGGACTTCTCCTTGCTCAAGATCCCTTCGGGTATGACCTAAATGTGTGAATTCTTTTTGTTTTTCTGAGGTCAAACTCGTAATAGGACATGATAAACCAAGTTTATATTTATATTTTCAGATATTACTGGTTCTTTGATGAATAAATTTATTTTGGCCTTCTCAGTTTTGTTTGATCCACCTCAATGTTAATTAAAGCCTAGCTTAATTGGAGAAGCTGTCTTTATAAAATATAAATTAAGCTACCATATTGATGTCGTTATACAGGTAATTTTTATAACCTATGGAGAACTCGTGCTAACAAATTCATCAATATTTTAAGATATAGATCCATCTATTTCAACGAGAAGCCGTTGAAAAAAATTCTTCTTTTCATATATTTAAGGATGCATTGTCCTGGCTGGGTATCAGTAATATATGTCATTTGTCATTGTAGCAATTTAAAGTTTGTTTCGTTTTACTTAAATTTTGAGCCATTACATATTTATTTCCATGAAATATCTCATTAATGGTCTTTTTATCTGGCATGTTGCTTTGGTTATAAAAGAAAGCTACTCGATCTGCATTTTTATAATGATATGCTACCTGAATATCCATAAATTTGTTGAAAAGAAACTGAGTTGCTCACTTTCTTTTTATATATATATACATTGTGAGTCTCTTCCAAGAGTAGCTTTCAGTTTCTCTCTCTCTCTTTATTTTTTATTTTTTTTAAAGAAAGGAAGAAGAACTTGCATCACAGCTAAGTATTACATAGGCAATGGTGTTCTATATATTTTATTGTTCATGCTTATAGTGTCCTGTTTGCCTCTTATCTCCCAATATCAAGGGTTTTTAACAACCGCTCTCGTAAGCATGTTCATGAGCTATGCAATGTAGATACCACATGATCATAGAATTCTGAAGGTATGTGTGTGTATCATATTTGAAAATCCTGAAGTGGATACTAAGTTCAACACAACTTCACGAACCTTGATCAAAAGGAACCCAAGTTTTAGAACATTGGCCATTCTTTCCTTGTTCATTTTCCCTTCTCATAGCTGGCCCTCTCATTGACATTGGTCATTGCTTATAAGTTTGTTATACACCCTAAATTATTCTTGTCTGCCAACTCAAAACTCACATTTGTCAACCTTAAATCGCTGGGTTTCTCCATCCATCAATCTAAAATTTACACAAAGTCTTGCAATGATATATGCTTAACTCCTTGGTTGCTTAGAATTTGGGTACACGAGGAGTGGTCATTTAATGCCTTTCTATAAAGCATTTATTGTGTTTTACAGTGTTCATACACTAAGACATCAGTTTAAATACATAATCCCGAAATAAATGTTTACCCTTATATATCATAGGCTAATTTTCTTGTTTCGTTGTATTTTTTTGTTTACCACTCTTAACCTTGGACAGTATTTTAGTCCAGGAAGTGGTTGCTTTTAAAGTTATTTTGGTTCTGCACCATGGTTTTATCTGATTCTCTGACTCAGAAGATTTCTATTCATTCTGCGACAGAAATTATGTTGTTCAATATATTATAGAGTTGAGGATCCCTTCTGTCACTGCCAACTTAATTGCTCAGTTCAAAGGCCATTATGTTTACCTATCAAAGCAGAAATTTAGCAGCCATGTCGTGGAAAAATGCCTCAAGCATTTTGGAGAGAGTCGATCACAAATTGTCCATGAATTGCTGTCTGTGCCTCATTTTGAACAGTTGCTGCAAGATCCATATGCCAATTATGTCATTCAGTCTGCATTGACAGTTACCAAGGTTTGGAGAAGTACATCCTTTAGCAACTTCTCTGATGTGTTTCAAACTTTTGATAGAACCTTACTCCTTTATTTCTATCTTCAGGGCCTTCTTCATGCTGCACTGCTTGAAGCTGCTCGGCCGCACTCTTTCTTACGAACCAGCCCATATTGTAAGCGGATTTTCTCGCGGAATCTGTCAAAGAAGTGATGTAAATTCGTGCGTGGTAACAAGTGTTGTTGTTCTCCCAAAGTTACTAACCTGTTCCCTATTCAGAAGAAGTCTTAATCTGTGTTGAGGCACTAGATGTAGAATAGCCTTCAAAATTTGAAGCGGATGCCCTCATGAGAACCTTGGAAACTTAATCTCTACGGATGATCTCTATGATTTTGAAGAATGTAAACTGGAGGTTTTTACTCCTGGTTGTTTGTTTTGCTTAAACAACTTGTATGTACTGTTCTGTTGTCTTCTTGTTGTTGTTGTGGGCTTGTTGATCTGAACTTTTAATGTATGATGTTTCACATGGTCGGCACCGCAGTTTTTACTTTTAATCTCGGTAAATGCCATGCGGCACTATATTTCCTCTTCAATTCTGAAGTTGATTTTCTTGAACTATGATCTGGGTTGTGAGAATTATATAATCTCTTTCTAAGAACATAAAAAATGATATGGTGTCAAGCCTGTTGGATTGATCATTCATTTTTCGTAGTAAGATTAATATGAATCCAAGTAAGAAATATTTTTTGCTCTTTTCTCGTCTTTGACATGTAGGTAATGGAAATTTTTGCTAACCCTTTTGATCGCCGATCATATACCTCATGTTTCGTTGCTCCTGTTAAAGTAACAGATCACTATGTCGCCTCAAATACTTCCAACATCGTGAAGTTATTTACATGGAATTGGTGGAGCAAAGTATTTAATAGAGGAAAAATGCTACCCTTACAAAGACAATACAAAGAGGGTTACAAAGTGACATCAGCAAGAAGAAAAAAACAAAGAAAGAACAGAAAAAGAGAAAGAGAGAGAGAGAGAAATCATTAAGATCAAGGGTAGCAATTATCTTTGTATGCCCCTATTGTATTTGTCTTTGTAAGACTAGCACTGCTCTTAATCAAGATGTATTAATAACATGGAATATGATAGCAGAAAGATGCCAACTTAGCTAAACGCCCATTTCTTCCACCTGCCATGCCTAAGCCGAAGGTTTTGGTATTCATGTTGGAGGATTCCAAAATTATTTAGATAAATAAAAAATAAATAAGATTACAGAAATATTTAGTTAAATAAAAAATAAAGAGTTTTAATTTTTGTTATACCTGAAAAAGTAGAGCTGACATGAAGTCTCGTCAGTAAAGGATGGTCAGAGCTCAGAAGAGTTCTGTGCCGTCTAGGTGCGGCCACGTCACGCCTAGCACAAGTGGTATGGCTCCTGTCAATGCAGCAGGTGAGTGCCAGGCCAACAAGTGGCTGAAGATCACCCACGTGTCAAAGCCCTGCTTTAGTCAAGGAAATCCCTCAGGCAAGAGACCAATGGGACGCAGAGGAAGGATTTGCACGGCATCTACCCACTTGCAGCTTTTATAATCATTACCTTAGACTCTTCCACTATAAATAGAATACTTCCCTTTCATTTGTGGGGGATTGGCTATTTTTGCGCTGAAATAGCTCTCTCTCTCTCTTGTATTCTCTCTCTAAACTGTAACTCAGCTCGCTGAAAGCGACTTGACCTCTCTCTCTTATTAATACAAAAGTAGTGGACGTAAGATTCACTTTTGAGCATCCGAACCACTTTAAATATTGCTCTTCACCTTTTATTTAATTCAATCCCCTCATATCACGTGTGACTTCTAAGTCTTTTTAGCATTTTACACGTGTGAGTAGTTGGTGTCAAATCAAGCATCAACAGTTTGGCGCTAGAAGGAGGGCCTGATTTAGTACCTACTCTTCATCAGAAAAATCTCTGACTAATCGGTCCCACAACAGCAAATGGCTTGCGGTTTCGAATCTGAGCAAACCAATTATGGCAATGAAGAAATCCCTTAGGTATAGGAGGACACTTCTCCCGAAATGCCGTTAGTCCAGCAGAATATCATGGGGGATATTCCTTCAAGCTCGCGGCTCGACCTAGCTGTCGTGAGTTACCTGGAGAGGTTCAATAATACTCTTCAAACGATCAGCCAAAGGCTAGACCGATTGGATCAGGTTGTGCCACCTGAGTACAATAAGGTGGTGCCACCGCAAAAAATGCCTGTAGGTCGCGTGAAAACATGGAAAAGGACGAAAGCCCATATTGCTTGCACTTTAGCGCGTCAGAGAAAGGGAAAGCAAGTGGCACACAACGGACCCAATGGCTTTGAGGGACTAGCGAACACTGATTGCGCACAGGGTAGAATACTTGTGGCATTGTGACTCGATGATATGTCACAGCACATCCTATGCCACGTCGCATGGGCACTCCCATAAAAGTGCAGGGTGGGGAGATTCCCAATATCACCAGAATGACGACTTCGATTGTCATCGTGCAGGGGATTCCCATCGTCCGCAGGTCAGTTCGTACCACCGCGGAGGTCGGGAAGACTCCTCGAATCGCTTAATGCCATCACACAGCTCCAGCCAACGTGTGTTGAGATTGGCCGGAGCTTTCGACCGAGGTGAGGAAGAGTCCAATTTGTGATCTTTCCTCAACCGAAACCGTGAGGGTCAAACCTACGTTGCAGAAAGTGATCGCTCCGCTGCCTCAGATTGAGGAACTACAGCGAGTTTTGGATCAACTTAAGGCTCAGCAAAATGAGCAAGGGCAGGTCGCAGAGGTGTCTCCTTTTTCTCTGGTAGTGTTAGTTGCCCCTCTCCCATCGAGATTCAGAATGCCTGACATGCAAGCATTCGATAGAAATTCTGATCTGCATGATCATTTATACGAGTTTAACGACCTCATGGAACTCCACCAAGTCTCTAACTTGGTAAAATGTTGTTGCTTGGTAGTAACCCTTATCGCCCATGCCAAGCGCTGGTTCAGGTCACTTCCAGTAGGATCGGTCAGCTCATGGCCTCAAATGAGCTCGACATTTCTGAGGCACTTCCAGGCGAACAAGAAGTTCTTAATGCTCCTAAGCTATCTGAGCAATATACGGCAGGAGAGAGATGAACCCTTCTAATCTTATATAGACAGGTTCCACAAGGAGCTCCACAAAGTAGCTTATACTCCCAAAGAGTCTGTTCGGACTCTCATTATTGGGGGAGTTCGCCTGCAGACAAACTTATAGAAGGAACTGCAATATGAGGATGATATTTCCTTTACTCGCTTCTAGAACCTTACTGAAAAGTACCTCTGGATTGAAAGTTTTGTGTCAGCTTTTAGTCACCATGACCCTGGTCCTTCGGGCAGTGCTCCCAACCAGGGGGAGAATAGGAGGGCTGATCGTAGATGGGCTAATGATGATCAGCAAAAAGGAAAGAAGTAGTGGTACGAGCCTAAGAAATCTTATGCCATAGTTCCTCATCGCGATCGCAATAAGAGTCAATACACTCCTCTGAATACCTCGGTATCGGCTATCTTGGATAAATCAGAGGAGGCCAGTTTGCTCGGACAGCCCGAGCCCATGAAAAATCCCCCTTCAACCAGAAACAATAAAAAATACTGTCGCTATCATCGAGATAATGGGCATCACACCGATGAGTGTTAGACCTTCAAGCAGGCAATTAAGGACCTCAATAAATAGGGGCATTTCAAATAGTATGTTGATAACTCAGCTCCTGTTCGGGGGAAAAATCAAGAGGAACCAGGGAAGAGGCGTTATGGTCACAAATGTCTTTACTGTGTGGGGATCATATTTGTAGGACCACACCTCGCGGAGAACTCTCGAGGTGTCCAAGAAAGGTATGCTTGGGAAGCCAGTCATGACCCTATAAGTGTCATGAGCACAATGTCGTGACCCGCCAAGATTTGCAGAGAGGAGAAAATCACCTTTTCCGAGAAAGACGCAGTGCGATTGCATCATCCCCATGGTGATACTTTCTTAATCACGCCCGAAATAGGTTGGTGCAAAGTCCACATGATACCGATGGACAATGGAAGTGCCGTAAATATCTTATTTCAGCGAGCTTTCGAGAAGATGAAACTAGATGAGGCAGATCTAAAGCTTGCCTCTATCCCTCTGTACGGTTTCACTAGGGATCATTTGATTCCCAAGGGGACGATCACTCTTCATGTCACATTGGGGGAAACCAATGAGATGACCAAAATGACTGAGTTTTTAGTAGTAGACTGTCCGTCCGCTTTCAATGGCATTTTGGGACGACCTCTACTACAAAGCTTCAAGGCAGTCACTTCAATTTACCATCTGAAGATGAAGTTCCCCACCTCGACGGGGATAGGGGAAGTAAGTGAATCCCAACGCGCATCTCGCGATTGCTATGTAAGTGCAGTGCAGATGGCGTGCAAGAGAAATGGAACACTACTTGGCATCCCTAAGCAGGCAATGACGATTAGCAGGATCGAGCTACAGCCTAGCTCGATTGAGGATAACATCTCGCATCCAGGAATGCCCTCATAGTGGGCCGGTCGAGGACCTATCCGCGATATCGGTCAATCAAAGCGAGCCGACCCGAGTGTTGAGAATCAGGAGTAATCTCAACCCTCAACTCGCCAACGACCTAACATGCTTCCTCAGGGAAAATGTCGACGTATTCGCATGAACTCATGCTGACATGGTTGGGATCAACCCGAATGTTATATGACATTAAATATTGATAGCGCAGTCAGGTCGGTTCACCAAAAGAGAAGAGCAATGGACCCCGAGAGGTATGTCGCCTTAAAAGTTGAGATAGATAACCTCCTCTTAAACGGGTCATCCGGGAGACACTTTATCCGAGCTGGGTTACCAACCTAGTCTTAGTAAAGAAGCCTAACAGCAAATGATGGACCTGTGTTGACTTCACCGACCTTAACAAGGCCTATCCGAATGACAACTTTTCCTTGTCGAGAATCGACCAGCTCGTCGATGCCACCTCCAGGCACGAGCTGTTGATTTTATGGATGCCTACTCGAGATATAATTAGATTCTGATGTACGTGTTGGACGAAGAGCATACCTCCTTTGTTACAGATCGGGGGCTGTATTATTATAAGGTTATGCCCTTCGACCTAAAAAACACTGGGGCGACTTACCAGCGGCTGGTTAACCAAATGTTTTCTGAGTAAATCGGAAGATCAATGGAAGTCTATGTTGATGACATACTGGTCAAATCGCATGTCGCTTAAGATCACATAGCGTATCTCGCTGAGATGTTTAGCATACTCTGAAGATACAGAATGAAGCTCAATCCTCTCAAGTGTTCATTCGAGATATCCTTGGGAAAATTCCTGGGGTATATGGTTAACCAGAGGGGAATAGAAATCAACCCCGAAAAGATCTAAGCTCTTCTTGATATGAGAAGGCCGACCAATCGAAAACAGGTTTAGAGTCTTAATGGGCGAATAACGGCTCTTAGTCGCTTCATATCAAGAGCAACAGATCATTGCTTGCCATTTTTCAATATACTCAGGGCTAACAAAAAGTTTGAATGGACTCCGAACTGCGAACAGACTTTTCAAAGCATTAAAAAGCACATCGGAAA